TGAGTCTCAGCTTTGTTTGTTCTTTGCCTTTCGGCAGGAAGCCTTCCTGCAAACTGAACCTTTCCGGACCGCTTTCTCCCAAGTGGGATCAACTGAGTCTTACACTGAGCGACGGATTCCAAACAGGAGGTTTGGATCCAGCCACCTTTGAGCACGCTGAGATCACTCTCTGAGTAAGGAAGTCATCTTCACCACGACCCGTTCAAGTACCACAGGAAAACTGAGTTGCAACCAGCGGCTGCATCATTGCACTCCATCCGAGTTCTGGGTAAACCTTGTTCCGCCCTCCACCGAATCAAACAAACCCTGGAAGACCAACACACAGACTGGAGTCTACGTGTCTCTTCTTCTCTGGAAACGTGAGTGGCAACAAATCCTCTCCTTCAAGATAAACAACTCCAATTCCCCACTGAGCCTGAACCTAACAGTCTGTCTTCCCCTCGTCTTCCAGTTTCCCGGCCGAACTCACCAAACTCAACATACTCCTCAATAAAACCCGTTCAAACTTTTACTCTGTGTCTCTCTTTGTTTGGCTTCACTGCATGTGGGTTCGAGCTTTAGATAAAATCATGACATTGTGCCATAAATATGATCACTGTAGAAGAGGATGCAGTAACCCCCCATCAGCCAACTGGCTTCACAGGAACCCTCCCACCAAGGAGTGCCTTGGCCCCCCCACAGAGCTGAGAACAGTAGAAAAAAACAAAGCACAGAGGATTTCTCTCTTTTTCCCTGAAGCTGCCCGGGGGTTCACACTGGAAGAGGACAACCCATGGCGGCAGGCCCAAAAGGCCCAGATCTGCAGAATGACGAAGGATAAATCATGATGGGTGACATTTCAGAACCAAACTGTTGCAAAATATACTTTTTGCAACACATTTCTCTGAGTTTCAGAACTTACAGAGCCAGACTGGAGGAGAAAATCTCCTAAAGAAGCCATTCCCTTGGTGTGAGCCTCATGGGAATATAAAACATTAATATTGTTTTATTCACCTCATGGATTTGCATTGTGAATTGGTCTGAAAACATTCCAACTACTTTAAAATCAGTGAAAAGCTAATTTGATCAGATCCCAAATTCTTCCAGATAAAATTTGGTTTTAAACACAAAATCCATCATAAAGACCAATTAGCTTCCATAACATGTCTAAAAGTCAAGCAGGTTGGCAGGTCAATGGGTGTTTGAGTTGGTTTGGTCATCAGTTTATCTGCTGCTGTGGTTCAGGAAGGTTTCAAGTTCTTAGCAGATCAGCTTTTGTTTCCTCTGACGACTGTCAGAATCAGCAGCACATAGATTCCTTCAGATGATGTTCAGAGGTCAGCACTGATGTCTTCTGAAGTCCTGAGTTCAAATGCTTCCGGTTAAAACTCCCTTTGAACAGGAAGAAACCTCCAGCAGAACCAGGCTCAGTGTGAGCGGCCATCTGCTGAGGCCCACTGGGGTTCAAGCAGACAGAAGCAGACATAGAAAAAGAAGCATAGATACAAAAGGCAACTGTCAACCAGCTCCACAGGCGGCCCCGTCCAGGAAACACACAGCCAGGCAGACGAGCTCCGAGCCAGCTCCCATGTCAGAGGATGAAGAGAGCACATCCAGTTAGTCACAGTCAGAGAAACAGGACTACACTGGAAAACAGGCCAAGCTCCAACATCTAGAAACAAAGGTGTTGATGGCAGCAGCACAGCTGATATTTCTCTCCAGGATGGAGTCACAGCCAAACAGGAACAGACCAGATGAAGCTACTATGAGAAAAAGCAGAGAGAGCAGAACGTTAGAGATTGAACTAACAGATTCTGCAGAGTGGGAGAATAGAGATAGAATGAAGCAGAATGATGAAAAAGGGCTCCCTATGTCCTCCAGCAGTCTAAGCCTATAGCAGCAGAACTATAGAGATAGATCAGGATAACCTGAGCCACTCTAACTAGAAGCTTTATCAAAAAGGAAAGTTTTAAGCCTAGCCTTAAAAGTAGACAGGGTGTCTGCCTCACGGACTAAAACTGGTAGTTGGTTCCACAGGAGAGGAGCCTGAGAACTAAAAGATCTGCCTCCCATTCTACTTTTAGAAATTCTAGGAACCACTAGTAAACCTGCAGATTGAGAGCGAAGTGCTCTGTTAGGAACATAAGGAACAATCAGATCTCTGATATCAGATGGAGCTTGGCCATTTAAGGCTTTATATGTGAGAAGGAGGATTTTAAATTCTATTCTGGATTTAACAGGAAGCCAATGAAGAGAAGCCAGGATAGGAGAGATATGATCTCTCTTTTTCATTTTCATCAGAACTCTGGCTGCAGCATTTTGGATCAGCTGAAGGCTTTTAACTACAGCTTGTGGACTTCCTGATAGTAAAGATTAAAGGTATGTCTTCAGACATGCCTGTAATCTATGTAATGAATTAGCTTCATCTGGAAGCTAATCCACAGGTAACATTTGAGCATGAGGAAGATTTGTCATTAACATGAACAAAATCTTTATTCTGTTGCAATTTTAAAATAGATCTGTCTCGGTCTTTCTTTCTGTTTTTACTTTGATCTGTGTGTTTTATTGGTTTATTTCCTACGTTGTGTTTCCAGATTTATGTTAGTTCTCAGGTTTTTCTGTTGTCCTCTGTTACCCTCTTGTGTGTGTTCCTTTCCCCTTGGCTCCCTCGTTGTCTCCACTCTCACCTGCTCCTAATCAGCTCGTTAGCCCTGCCTTTGTCTCAGTCAGCTATATATTCTCTCCCTCTGCTGTCACTCCTTGTTGGTTCCTCTGTCGTTGCTGTTGTTCTTCCTACCTCGTCTCACCCTGGCTCCTCGTGATTATTTTCTCCTGATGTCTCCATGGTTCTGGTTTATGCTAGATATTAAGTTGAATTTTGGATTCCTGTCTTTGTTAAACTGTTTCCTCTGATTAAATCAACAAGAACTCACCTCTGCCTAACGAGCCAAGATCTTTATCAAAATGTACACATTTCATTAGAAAAGTAGAAACAAAACTCTATTTTATTCTTTTTTCAGCAGTAAGGTGAGGTCTGTATTTTTAGATTTAACTGTGAAAGAATATAAAAGGCTGATATAGTTCAATGATGAGCTCCCCGACTGCTTACTGCATATTTTAACTGTAAAGGAACAAAACATGCAGCTGCATGAACTAAATGATTTGGTGAATGAATCTACTGAGAAAATAATTTCTACTGAATTTATTGATTCAGTGTCTGGAAAAAACAATGTTCCCATCAGTAGGGGTACTGGGTCCTTCTTGGCTAATGGGACCATAATGGACTCTGTGGGATTCAGTCATTAGCAACATGCTACCATAGATCCCAGAACCACAGATCCATGTTATATAGAGCAAAGCTGAATTAATCAGTTTGGTTTAAGAAACAGAAGAACTGATCAGTAAATAAACTTCAGCAGTCAGAATGGTTCTGGTTTCATTTCCTCTCTGAGGCTTTTCTTTCTCCCTCAGTGAGACAGAAAACTCCACATTTCCCCTCAGCTCCTGTTGGTCCTGGTTCTGCTTTATGGGCTCAGCGTGTTTCACTATTAGAACACAGAGGATCAGCTGCTGGGCTGAACCGGGTCATTGATAGAACTCTGCAGAATCGACCCATTTCCACCTCCTTTCTTTTTGAAGGAGCAGCTTGATGTTCTGCAGAACATCTGGTCTGGCAGTGGGTGAGAGTGGATCAGGTTGGTTCTTCTCTGCATGTTCAGAACCAGCTGGTTCAACCATCAATCCAACAGCAGGTTCTACAGGAATCAGTGGGAAGTTCTGGTCCAGCCTGGTTGCTGTCAGGTCAGGAGGAAATCCCTGATGGTTCTGAGGTCCAATTATAGCAGAACTGATCTGAGGTTTTAGGTTCTGTCTGGATCCACTGCAGGCTGCTGTCATTGCAGCTGCTGGAGTCTGGCTGAACCATTAAAGCCTGATCCAGAACCAGAACCACCTAGAGCTGCACAAACATTCTAGTTCCTTTAAACCACCGATCAGAATCTGTTTCTGAACCCACCTCTGCAGAACCGGGCTTAGTGATCAGAACTTCTGCAGAACCAGAGGATTAAAAACTATTAATGTTTATTCCTCCAGTATAAATCCTGCTGTTTTAAAACATTTTTATAGAAGTTAGAGGATCAAGTTCAGCTTTTAACTCCATCAAAAGTGTAAAACTACTTTTTTTAAAACTACTGAAAGTATAAAAGTAAAAGTAAAGCAGGAAAAACTGTCAGAAGCTTTACTGCTCTATTAAAGGAAAATGTTTCTACCATTCTGGATGATAACTTTATTTTACTTTATTTTCTTAGTTTTATAACTAAATGTAACAGCGTCACATTTAACTTTGCATCCTCTGCAAAAAATTTTTTATTTTGGTTTGTGGTGAGCAACAGGTCGGGGCAGCACCGAGTCCAACCACAGAGAAATTAACTGTCTGGATGAAACTAAATTATTTTGATGTTTTTTATTTATAATTTTTTTTTTATTCCAACAGGTCATAATGAAAATAAGCTTAAATGAAATAAAACTAACGAGTCTGTTTTTAAAATCTAAGCAGTAGAAAGCAAATGTCTAAAAACTAATTACTGCAGTAAAGCATAGATAACTGGGTTTAGTTCTTCTCTATTGTTCAATATGACTTTGATTAAAAATTGTGGTTAAATGTTTTTAAGTTTAAATAATAAAAAGCTGAACCAAAATAGAAAGTAGAAATTCCTTTAGAATGACACTTTTATATGTTTGAGATTTGCTTTTGATTTCAGTTTTATGCTGATTTTCATTTTGCAGGTAATTTAAAGTTGTTGGTTATTTTAATGTTATTTTATCCATTAACCGGGCGTTGTGGTCCAAAGAACCAGGATCCAGTCTGATGTTCTTCTCTCCTCAGGCGATCTTAGAGTGGCAGACTGCACACCTTCCTGGTGCAGCACCTGTTGCTACATGTCTGCATGCTGACAGGAGCCTTTGTTTCCCAAACCGCCTGGGCCGGTTCACCCTGCAGCTGCAGAAGAAGTCTGGATGGTTTCATTTCTGTCACTGAGGCGCAGCTGTTCCTCCGAGTGGCTGCGGCTGCTGCAGCTGCCTTCCTGTCACCTCGGTGTCACATGAAGCAGCTCAGCGACGCTCTGAGGTAAACAAGCTGGTTCAGAAACTGCTCACAGGGTCCAACTGGACCCGTCTCCAGGATCCGGGTCCAATGATGGCGGCAGGACCTGAAACTGACTCAGGAATTTTTATCTGAATCAGAAAGTTCAGAGGAAACTGGATTCTGGACCTGTCAGCCGGATTCTGGTGCCTAATGTGGATTTCAGTGAAGTTCCAGACGGTTGGAGGTTTCAGAAGCTCTGAGATGGTTCTGGTTCTGGTTCTGGTTCTGCAGCAGCTGCTGGTGGTTCTGTTGGGTAAGTGACCTGCTCACAGTCACACTCAGAACCTGGAGCAGACGGGTCATCTGTCCGGTTCTGTGGAGCTGAACGTTCAGATTTCAGACTTCAAAATAAAAGCCTCATTCAGACTTTTTTCTTTTAAACATTTGGTAGAAAATTAGGATATTTATGATCTGATAAGTTTGACCATCTAATCAAAAGTATTTTATAATGATCCACTGACCCCCAGAAAGCTGATTGCCCCTCCCTCACCCCAGATGATTGACATTCAGACACCAGAGAAAAGCTTCAGTAGGTTTTATTACAGAGAACCTATTAGCAATACCTTCACATTATGAGACCCAAAATCAGCCGTGAAATACATGTGGATAAACTTTGGATTTATTTTCTGCATTTTTCCCACCTCTTGAGGAGTGAACTGTCAATCATCTGGGCGACCAATCAGATTTCCAGCTCTCCCTTTGGTCCGGGCAGCAGTGACTCGGTCAGACTAGCATTTATTTTAGCACCCTCTGGTGGTAATATGTGATAATGGTTAAGGTATAATAAGCTGGAGTTGCATTGTAACACTGACTCACTGACTCTTCAGCAATCCCTCACACTAAGCATGCTTGTAGCAACAGTGGAGAGGAAAAACTCCCTTTGAACAGGAAGAAGAAAAAGGGTTCACCCAGTATCGTTTACGGTGTGTAATTCATGTGGAAAGGGAGGGACAATGTTTGGTCCGGTTCGGCTCAGAGACTCAGTCCACTTGGTCACCAGAGAGACTTGAATTAGTCTTTTGCAAAACAACACAGGAAAGACTGCATGGCTTAATTTATGGTCAATTACGAAGCTCTTAGAGGACGTCTTCTTAGAGCGGTAGCTGTCATCTAACAGCAAAACCTTTTGGGTCGCGGTTCTGTAACTTGGTTGTGGCATAGACAGACAGCTGCAAAGCTTCAGAGCAACAGCAGGCCCAGTGGGTCACAGTTCAGCAGCTTCATGCGGCACCTCACCTAACTGGCAGTCAGGCCAGAACTGATCCAGGGCAGCTAACAGTGGCGTGGTTTCTCAGGTCCACAAAGAAAGAAAAAACTGGGAAAAGCTGTTTCTGTTCTAGTCTGTATAAAGAACCATTGGACCTTCAACCGCTCCAGCAGAATCCAGCCTCACTAGCAGAACCAGGATGACCCAGATCAGTTCCTTGGAAGGAGCCTTGGTTCTGTCAGAACTTCTCTACAGACAGCTTCTTGTCTCTGTCCTCAGTTTCCCAGCATGCCTTGGGGCTCCAGGTGTTTGAGGGGGAGGAGTCTGTCCTGCTGCCATGTGAGGTCAAACCTTCTGTGTCCAGTGGTTCTACGACAGTTTGGGACAGAGACGACTTCCGGATCCCCACGGTCCATGTTCGTGAGCCGGCTGGGGATTATCTGAAGGACCAGAACCAGCGTTATGAAGGTCGGACCTCAATGATGGAGGACGCTCTGCAGACCGGAGACCTCAGTCTGACTCTGAGGAAACCCACCTTCACCGACAGCGGGACCTTCACCTGCACCGTCCGCAGGATGGGAGAAGATCTGCACCAAGGAACTGTGGAGCTGCAGGTCAAAGGTCAGAGAGGAAGCTTCTCTGGATGATCTAAAGGTATTTAATTATAATTGGAAACGTCAGCTTCTCTCTCTGTTAATGGTGTCTGCAGATCCTCCTCCTCCTGTCTGGCCCTGGGTTCTCCTTGGGGTTCTGATCCCCATAGTTCTGCTGGTTGGTGCAGCTGCTGTTTGGTACTACAGATGGAAAAAGAAGCACACAGCAGGTATGTTGGTCACTGGATGGAGGAATGAACCAGATTAGATCTGACAGAATCCTCCAGAATCATTCACAGCGCAGTACCCAGTCCAACCAGTATGTTTCTAACCATTTTGTCCATTCAAATCTGTCCACACTCCACCCCTAAATGCCAAATGGCCAAATGTGCTTTATTTTCTGCAAATTGTTGTAGATCAGGTCTCTGTGTTGGGCCTCCTGTTGTTTCTGTTTTCTTGGCTCCATCTTCAGTAGATCTGGAACTTCATGTCTCACCTTACACCATAATACTGCAACATGATTGGCTGTCCAATGATGGGACGCCGCTTGAATGACTGAGGGTGGGAACAAGATGTATTGTCAGGTGTTTCTCTGTACACACATCCTGCGAGAATTAAGCTAACCCAAAGTCATTCCATCAGAACCTTTGGGAAAACTTTGAACCTTGCAGTATTTCAAATATATTTTTTCTGTATGAATGGCTCTATACTCTGTGTTTTCCTTTCTTCTGTTGTGTTTTCTTCTGAGGTTCTCTGGCCTCTACAGACTCTGGAACTGTGATGTTCTGCTTTCTTCTCAGTGCTTCAGTCTGAGATAGTGGAGATCAGAGAGGGGGTGAAGTCTGTCCTGCTGCCCCTAAAAGCCAACAGAACCTTTCCCCAGGATGTCAGAGTGGAATGGACCCGTTCTGACCAGAACATCAGAGTCCACGTGTTTGAGAACAGCCAGACCCAGCCTCAGGAACAGGAGAACATTTATAAAGAGAGAACAAAGATGAGAGCAGAACCTCTGACTACAGGAGACCTCAGTCTGACTCTAAAAAGCCCCCAGCTGGAGGACAACGGGGTCTATAAATGTGTCGTCTACAGAGCAGGAGACCTGCTGCTGAAGAAAACGGTGACCCTGAAGGTCAAAGGTCAGTCTGACTCAGTCTGACAGTTAAAAGATTATCCAGGTGACCTTGCTCTGGCTTTATATTTGCTTCAAATCTGGTTTGAATCTGTTTCCATTCCTGACAGAGAGCCTGATGGAGGAGGTGGAGGTATCAAAAGGAGAAGACGTTGTCCGTCTGCCTTTTAAAACATTAGATGACCTTCCTGAAGATGCAGAAGTTGTGTGGAGCCACTCTAACAAAACCGACAAAGTACATGAGTACAAGAACGGTCAGGACCAGTTAGAGAGACAGAACCCAGAGTACCAGGACCGGACATCCATGAATCCTGATGCTCTGATGACTGGAGACCTGACCCTGACTATAAGTGATCCCAGACTGGGAGACAGCGGCATCTATATCTGTATCGTCTACAGTAGTGATGGGAAAATACTGAGACGGAAGATAGTGACACTAACTGTGAGAGGTTAGTAATGTTAACACATCACTGAGGTCAGTTAATTCAGCAGTACACAAAGGCATCTACTGTTTATTCCAAAAAAGAAAATTAAAAACAATCCACTGGACTTTGTTTCCAAGTTTGAAGATGTTTCTCTTCCATCCAGGAAGATTTCTTCACTGTGAGATCAGTAAAGTTGAATTAATATCTGTGCAGAGCACAGGGCCAGTACGTAATTAGCCAATTCTGGTGTTCTCTGGTAAATTACAAGTGTCCTGCACAGTGTTGGGCAGTGAGCACAACCCTCATCTTTTGATGTCGGCCCTCATACCATCCTCATGGAGTCGCTTTCTAATTCTTTCTGCAAACACATGCACATTGGTGGTCTGCTGGAGGTCACAGTGCAGGGCTCTGGCAGTGCTCCTGTTCCTCCTTGCACCAAGGCGGAGGTAGTGGTCCTGCTGCTGGGTCGCTGCCCTCTAACAGCCTCCTCTACGTCTCCACGCCTTTGTTCCTGTAGCGCCTCCAGCTTCTGGACATTACGCTGAAAGATACAGCATACCTTCTTGCCATAGCTGGCATTGATATGCCATCCAGGATGAGCTGCACTACCTGAAGCATTTGTGTGGGTTGTAGAGTCTGTATGGTGTTTCCACGAGTGGGAAAGATTTATTGAGTGGGTTTGCTAATTAGCTTTATTTTCCACCTGTTGTCTTTTACATTAGCACAACAGCAGCTAAAGCTAATTATTAATCAGTGTTGATTTCTAATTGGACAATTTGTTTTCACAGAAGTTTGATTTGATTGAAGTTATATGGTGTTTTTTTTTTAATGTTCCCTTAATTTTTCAGATTAGTGTGTTTGATGCGTGGTAACATATCTGAACATATCTCAGTCATCCTGGTCATGGTCAACCTTGAAAGGTTCAGTTTAGGCAACTGGACCATGTTGTCTGTATTCCACAGAAGAGAAGTTTACAGGAAACCCACAGACACCAATAGTATCTCCTTTTTGACTAACACCACCCATAAAAGCAGAAACTAGGCGGCATCCAGAACCCTGCAGACCTGAGCAGAAATCATTCCCACCACCAACAGAGGATAAGGGACCAGGGACACATCAGGACATTCCTGAAGAACTGTGGTTATCCCAGATGGGCTGTTCTAAAAACCAACAAGAAGAGGTCTGAGAGGGAAGAAAACAGAAGAAGGAACATCATGTTTCCCTATGTTGCTGGAGTCTCTGAAAAATCAGCACTGGATTCCTGTTCACTATAAACCCAGCAACACCCTAAGACAAAAACTGGTTTGCCTCAAAGACACCCAGAAACAAGACCAACAACGTGGTTTACACCGTGCACAGACCTTTACATTGGAGAGACTAGGCAACCACTACACAGGCGCATGGCTCAACACAGGAGGGCCGACTCCTCAGGACAGGACTCAGCTGTTCACCTACAGCTGAAGGCTAAAGGACGCTCGTTTGAAGACGAGGTCAAGATTCTGGCCAAGGAAGACAGATGGTTTGAGAGAGGGGTTACTGTAACAGTGTTTGTTAACCTGGAAAAACCAACAGAGGAGGTGGTCTTAGACACCCATCAAAACCCCCTAATGACCATGAACCACCATGTGACCTACTTGGCCAATCCAGTAGGAGGGATAAAAGCCACCTTTTGTTCCCCCTAATTCTTTCTTAAAGCTACAGTATATTAATCTCAGTGCTCCCCACCACTAGCTAGAACTGAAGAAGCCTCATGGATGAGAGGAGAAACATCTATTAGAAAACTTAACGTCCAGTTGACGAAACTGAATTTTTAGAGGTTGGACAACTTTTTTTGTTAGAAAAAAAAATACTATTAAGAAACATATATTTATTTTTCTCTAAAATTTAAACTTCCCAGTAGTAAAACATATATTTTATGTAAAACATCAGAGGTCAGTAACAACTTCAGAGGTCAGAACATATAATGGATGCCTGTAGATACACCAGATATCAGCTTCACAGAGTTAAAGTGCACTTCAATGATACACATGGTAATCTGTTGATATGACCCACGTTTCCATCTCATTTCAGTCTATAAGGTGGAAAAGGTTTCTGTTGAGGAGGGAAAGAGGTCCGTCGTTCTTCCCTTTCATGCAACACGTTGCCTCCTATCTGAGGACATCACTGTGGAGTGGAGACTCTCAGATGTAAAAGACATTATCGTCTACAAATATCAGAGACGCCATCACATGCCAGCAGAGGACCAGGTTTATGGAGGCCACACAGAGATGAATAAAGATCCATTAATCACTGGAGACCTCAGTCTGACCATCAGGGACCTCCGTCTGACTGACGGTGTTTATACCTGCACCATCTATGATGAGAATGGAGAGAGGCTGCAGCAGAAGGTGGTGGTCCTCATAGTCAGAGGTGAGTGGAAGCAGCTGCTCTATCCTCAGCAGTCAGTAGGAACCATCTTTGGTTTCTCTGGACTCCTGATGTTCTGCTTTGGTCTTCAGGTTTACAGATAGTGGAGGTAATAAAGGGGGAGTCATCTGTGAAACTTCCCTTCCAAATTCAACGTTTGGAGAACAAAGACATCAGGGTGGAGTGGACCCAACCCGACTCAAAGGTCATCACCTTTGAGAACGGAGAACTTCAGGTGGCCAAAAAGAGAAACTTTCATAGAAGTAGCATAGAGATAAATAAAGATCTGAGTTCTGGAGACCTCAGCCTGATCCTGAAGCGTCCTGGTTATAAGGACAGTGGCCTCTACAAATGTACCGTCTACAGTGGCCAGAAGATCCAGCACCAGAAAATGGTGATGCTCAGGGTAAAAGGTAAAGATGCTTCAGTCCGTTGTTGTAGTTTCATGACATGATGGAAGGTCTGAGGTTCTTCAGTCTGAGATGTTCTCTGGTTTATCTGCAGAGCCTTTGGAGGGCAGCTTCATAGATAGACTAAGGTCACTGAAGAGGAGCAGGACATCTGATATTTCATCCCAAGAGTAATATGTCTCATTTTCTTTTGTTTTTATCAATTATGTTCTGAATGTTCTGATCTGACTTAAAGGAATAGTACACCCAAAACATGATTAGCCTTCATTTTCTACTCCCCCCCATGCTGAACAACACTCTGGAGTACTTTTTTGATATCTCAAATGCATCTGGAGATCTGGGAGGCTTCTTGCTGTCTGCTGACATTCAAATAATGGAGGTCTATGGCGCCCGAGGCAGAAAGGTCCATAAAAGTCCACAAAAAACGTGTCAATATTCCTCCATACTGCTCGTCCAATGTATTCCAAGTGTCCTGAGTGGGTAGCATCCAGAATTTACTCGAAACAAAGTCATTTAGAATGTTTTTAGAGCATAAACAGTAGTGTATAGGATTTCCTGAAAGCGCGTTCACGAGTCTACGGAAACCGCGGCAGACCAAACCAGATGAAAGTGCGCATTCAGCTCGGCAAAGAACTCATGCTCTTCCTCAACACTGAAGTCCTCAGACATTTTTCTTTCGTTGTTTCTTTCTTTGCACAGGAAAACAGCACATTTCTTCTTCTACGCTTGCATTATCGGCAGAGCAGACGCTGAATGCGCACTTTCATCTGGTTTGGTCTGCCGCGGTTTCCGTAGACTCGTGAACGCGCTTTCAGGAAATCCTATACACTACTGTTTATGCTCTAAAAACATTCTAAATGACTTCGTTTCGAGTAAATTCTGGATGCTACCCACTCAGGACACTTGGAATACATTGGACGAGCAGTATGGAGGAATATTGACACGTTTTTTGTGGACTTTTATGGACCTTTCTGCCTCGGGCGCCATAGACCTCCATTATTTGAATGTCAGCAGACAGCAAGAAGCCTCCCAGATCTCCAGATGCATTTGAGATATCAAAAAAGTACTCCAGCGTGTTGTTCAGCATGGGGGGGAGTAGAAAATGAAGGCTAATCATGTTTTGGGTGTACTGTTCCTTTAAGGGCTCATTATGCTTGATGGTCAGATGAAGGAAATATCCTTCAGATGAATGACGGTCAGCATGGAAAATGAAACGGCGTGGAACAGTGTCTGCAGCATTTATACTCTTTGAGCCATATCCTGTTCTGGCGGCTCTGGGGGAGCATGTCCAGCACAGGCTGACAACAACACATTATACAAGGAATTAGAAAACACAGCTTTTTATGACTTTATCAAAGCCTCTTCATGCCGTCCCAGAGCAACAGTTAATTTATTTCCTTGAGTTCCGTAAAAGTTTAAAAAAACAATCCACTGGACTTGGTTTGAAGACATTTAGCTTCCCATCCAGGAGGGGAAGCAATACCAGGTGTTATCAAGTATGGAATTTGTGTTGTTGTTGGGAAGTAAGGGGCCGAACATGAGTAGACACCAACTTTTAAGCAAAGTTGTGATCTGCAAAAGCTTCTGCTGCATGTAAACAGGACTTATTTCAGCAGCTTTTAAAACAGATCAAACTTCTCTTAAAGATGGTGTCTCAGGTCCTTTAGGTGAGATTCAGGATGAACAGAATGAGCTGAGCTTAGGTTGGCAGATAGTATTTTAGATTGAAGGCAGAGGAACCTTTACTCTGTTCTGTCCAAACAGACCAACAGGACTTTTGGTCAGTTCTATATTTCCTCTGATGGTGTTCAATATCAGAGTCCAGTTTGGGTCCACTTGGTTCTGACTCAACTTCTTCTTTTTTCAGGAACGTTCCACTGAACTCCAGTTTAAACGCTTCGATTCATCCGGCCTGAATTCTGGATTAACCCTTTGAAAGGTGGATTATAATCTGTTACTGAAAGATGTGCCGATTCAGAACCTGCTTGGACTGTGGACACTGAGAACCTATCAGCTTCAGTTTTAACCTGTGGTATCAGAGGTTTGTGACTGAAATGGTCACATCTAAACCCTCTAGAACAAACCAACCAACCGTTCATCCTCCTCCTATTCTTCAACCTCCAAGAGGATGGAACCAAGAACCCTCTGGCCTCAGCAGAAGACCGATCCAGGTCTTAACATACAGGAGACTTCCTCCTCAGAGCCCCTACCCAGCATGCTGACTCCAGGTCATTAGTTACGGACGGTAAATGTCTTTAGTGGTCAGGAGTTTCAAAAGCCCTTAACATTCAGTCCTTCCTTAATGTCTGGATTCTCTCTGTTATACTTTTCTATAAGCGACTGGCTAGATCAAGTGGTAGGTCACCCATCATGCACACAGGAAGCCCCGGTTCATATCCCAACGGGGGGGAATGAGTTGCCAGTGTGGGTCCTTAGGCAAGACACTTCATGCTAATGCCTGCTTTGTAAGTCACTTTGAATAAAAGCATCTGTTAAATACATAAACACTATAAACATTAAATATTTTTTAAATTACAAGTTGCTCTGACCTTTGTCTCTACATTAAATGGAAATGTTCAAATAAACCTGCATTATGACTGTTATTTATGACAAAACATGTTAAGTACAACACGAATATGAATAAGTTACCTTTAATCAACATATTTCACAGTTTAGACCAGTCTAGTTCAGTCCAAATATTTTAAGTTGAGTCTAGTGTTGTTCAGTTAAATGCTGTTACCTTATGTAACAATGTCCAATGACTTTCAGACTGGCAGGTGTTGTTCTGTGAAAGCATTCCCAACTCAACAGATGGTGGTGTGGTTCCAACTGAAATCATAGTCAAACAGGTTATTTTGCACAGATATAGAATAAATTCACCACAACTTCCATTCAAAATAAAATATATTAACAGAAATCGTTCAGCTGCATGTTAAACATATTTCAGTTAAAAGCTTTGAGGATGAGCTGCAGTTGTTGGGCATTAAAATGTGCAATCCATGTTCAGAGGTCTTAAGGTGCGCTTTGGAAAACAGGCCCCTGAGTGGTCTGGGAGGTAGATCCATGGAAAACAGATCCGTTATGGATAGAGGTGCTGATCTACTCAGTGATCTCTAGACTAACAGAAGGATTTGAACGTCTATTCTTTGAGCAACAGGGAGCCAGAGGAAGGACTTCAGGACTGGGCTGATGTCATCTACTTTTTATAGTTCTAGTGAGAACATGGGCAGCAGTGGATCATCTTCAGTCTCTGATGGACTCTATAGTCAAACCTATACAGACACTGTTGCAGTGATAAATTCTACTATAGATAAATGCATGAATGAGTTTTTCTAGATCCTGCCTGGTCATCAGACCTTTAATCCCGGAGATGTTCTTCAGCTGATAAAAGGCTGACTTAGTAACTTTCTTTTTGAGGCTCTGAAGGTTCAGGTCCATCATGACACCAAGATTTCAGCCATAATCCCAGAAGCTAGAAGCTAACTCTGGATCTCTGCTCCTTTGGTCCAAAGATTATTACCTCACTTTGTAGAAAATGATACAGATTGATCTGTTTTCAGCATCTAACCAACACTCTGATGGTTCATAGTCACCTGCTGACAATAGGATGTAAAGCTGAGTGTTGTCTGCATCGTCATGGTAACTGATCTGGTTGTTTGCTATAATCTGAGCCAAGGGGAGCCTCTAGATATAAAATAGGAGGGACCCCAGAATGGAGCCTTGATGAACCCCACATGTGATTTTTCTGGTCTCTGATTTAAAGTTCCCCTGATAGAAGTCCCAGTCCTTCAGGGAGGATTTAAACCAGTCCAGTGCTGAACCAGCAAGACCGACCCAGTTTTCCACACACTAATAAAATCCAGTGAATAACAGAATCAAACGCTGCTCTGAGGTCCAATAATACCAACACTGTGGTTCTTCCACAGTCTGAGTTTATATTGAAAACCTTAATCAGGGCAGTCTCTGTACTGTGGTTGCTATGGAAACCTGACTGGATGACCTCACAGCAGCTGGTCATTGTTAAGAAGGTATTTAACTGTTGAAATACCTTTTTCAGTAATCTCACTGATGAAGATTTGAGATGGGCCTGTAGAGAGATCCTGCAGAATTAATTTGTAAATTTTTAAATGTTTCTCTTTTTCATCAATGGTTTAATAATTGCTGTTAGAATAGAACTGAACAGAAAAGAATAGTAAATCCCAGCAAAGGTTACAGTAGAAGTGGTCTCACAGTTCCTCTGAACAACATCTCAGAAGCCTGGAGTTGATGCCGTCTGGACCTGCAGCTTTTCCCATATTGATCTTTGGCAGCTCATTCCTTACCTGTGTTGTTAAAAGGACTAGATGTTTCTAGATTCATATGGAACGGTACAAAACCCAGAATAAAATTTGAAACTTTACATATACCAAAGGAGAGAGGAGGTAGGGCCTTACCTGACCTTAGAAAATATTATCATGCTGCCCAAATAACTCCCATAAAAAATATAAGTGACATAAATTACGAAGCGAAATGGAAAAATATTGAACAAAGAGTTAACGGAAGAGAATTGCGGAGTATCATTGGAGATATAGAGACCACTAAGAATACATTAAAGAATGTTAATGCCATTACTAGTTTTTCTCTGGGTAAATGGTTACACATAATCCGAATATGCAAATTAGAGAAACAGTTGGGTCTGATCCAGTGGCCAGCCTACATTAAATATTTTATTCAAGACACACGATTTAAACAATGGTCAGAAAGAGGCTTAACAGCGTTATGCGTAGTCCTTAACAATGGGCACTTTAAAAGTTTCCAGGAACTACAGCAAGAGTTTGCTCTAAGAACTCAAGATCACTTTAGATCTCTACAGTTAAGGGACTTCTATAACAAAGAAATAAAACAAAAAATAGACCCAAATTTAAATGGGATTATCAAAATGCTGATCGAGACCTATAAGGGTAAAAAACAAAGAACAGTGTCTTTCCTCTATAAATATCTGTTAGAAAATAGAGGCACTAATACATTGAATATTAAAACAAAGTGGGAAACCCTAACCCTAATAACCGACGAAGGCTGGCTGAATATTTGGAAGACCCAAACTACAACATCCTCTTCCAGAATCTGGAGAGAACATTGTTGGAAGAATATAATCAGATTTTATATAACACCCAAAATTACTAGTAAATTCAAATCTAGAGCTCAGCCATGCTGGAGAGATTGTGGAGCATTTAATGTTAATCACGCACACATTTTCTGGCTTTGTCCTAAAATTACACAGTTCTGGAACGAAATACACAGTAAGATTGTAACAATACTGGGTTACCCAATACCCAAGTCCGGTCTGGTATTATACCTTGGTCTTTTGGACAATATCGTATTTAATAATGATTGTTATTTGTTAAAAATTCTGTTGGTGGCAGCTAAAAAGGTGATAACCAGGAGGTGGTGCAAATCTGAACCTCCTACCACAAAGGAGTGGATACAGACTGTGATTTCATTATTTGAGATGGAGCTTCTATCACATAGGCTGAGGACGCAGGAGCAGCAATGCTTAGACAAATGGGAAAAATGGACAAACTTCACATCAACGATACCGGTCTAATTTTGGAAGTGGATGGTCCCCATGTGTTTTGAGTTACTAAAATACGAGTCTCCCCCTGTTTTTTTTGTTTTTTGCTTCGATTGTTCTGTACTTTTTGTCTATTATAGTTTCTATGTATTGTTTGTCAATAACGATCAAAATAAAAATAAAGTTATAAAAATAAAAAAAAAGGGACTAGATGGCAGGGGTGGGAGGGGTTGGATGCTGTGGGATGGAATCCTTTGGCTCAGGGGGTTGGATGATAATTGGGAGGTGGAAGGTGTGCAGTAGTCAGTCGTTGAAGAGCTGAAGGTAACAGCAGGGGGTTTGGGGGCTGGGTTGTAGGAGGTGTTTTTGATTTAAATCAAATCAGACGCTAAAACAGGCAAAACCTTCCTAATAAAACCTGTGGGTAAAACATCAAGACTACAGGAACAGCAGCTGAACAGTTTCTTCTAAACTTTAGCAGTATATCGGGCAGAATTAGGGCATTTTGAAACAGTTTATTTTAACTGGAGGCAGCACTGCTTTTTTTATACCTTGTATTTTCTTCATGAAGAACTTTGCAAAGTCATTGTAAGCCTTTAGATTTGAGTTCATCTGCCACATAGGCAGCTTTAATTAAACCTTTCATTAAGAAACCGTCTCTTCACCCAGATGACTTGGTCAGTTATAGACCTATATGAGATAATATTTACCAAACATCACCATCCTCCCCACCGTCTACATCAGCACCATGGAGAGCGTTCTGACCAGCTGTGTCACTGTGTGGGTGGAGGCTGCAGCGCCTCAGAGCTGTTGTGAAATGTTGATGATAGATCTTGATAGAGGGAAGTTGTTTTTCTTGGGAGTAACCAGTGTTTGTTTGTAAGAAGGTCTTATATATATGCAGGGGTGAAAACCCACCCAGCAGAGACTCACTGACATTTCTACTGGAAGTTACGTCTCTCCATCTGCAGACGTAAAAATAAATCCGTGTTCTTCTTTGCAAGTGTCCATGTGAGACACGGACAGTAAATGTCACCGTGTCCCACCATGTGAGACAAATATTCTCCTTGTGCTTAATGATTAATAACTGCTGTAAATATGAACCAAGTTATTGATGTTTACTGATGGTGAAGACATCTTGGATTTTAACAGCTGGTCAAAACATCCGCTGCAAAGGTAAGCAGTTAGTAACAGCTGGTAAATAAACAAATTGTCAGTTATGATAATTTAACTAAAGATCATAACTTGGTTTTACCTTTAGTTTGAATGATATATTAATCAACTAGTTATCAATATAGCTTCCAGTTCTAGTTGATGGTAACAGATTCATAATCTGCTGTTAAAACAAACACCCTTTTGCTACAGTAGTTACCTTTTATCCCAGAAACCAGAACCTGATGAGTCCATCTCAGAGGTTCT